ACGCAAATTGTGACCTCTAGAAGGGACGGACATGTGACAGCATCAATCCATTTTATAAATAAGTGGTATCGCCTCACCACTGTCAGTCACCCAACAACGCAGAGAACACTTAAATCTCGATTGCTTCGATGTAAATATATATACATATATATATGTGTGTGTTTCCATAAAATTCATTCATCGACCCTTATGTGGGCCGGTGATCGAGCACTTTGGCCTAGTCTGATGTGCTTGTTTTTGTTTGGGGGTTTTTCATTTTTATTTTCATTTGCCATTTTAAATTGCCTCAAAATACACAAGCACACAAACATCATCAGGTACATGCTCACATAGGTATGTACGCACATATGTATATACATTCATACACAATGGGGGAAGTTTCATTTTTATTCTCTACGCTTTAATGATGCATTAAGTTTTCCCCAAAAAATTCTCAACAAATATGCGTACTTCGAATGATTTTACATGGACTGGAAAATTTGTTGTATTTCGTTGCTGTTTCCATATTTATTGGATTTGGGTCTTCGGGTTTTGTTTTTGTTCGTCTCTTCTTTTTTTTCTTTGGAGGAAAACGTGCTTTTCCCCAAAATTGCTTTTGCAAGAGTGTCTGTGGCTGTGTATTGTGCGGATGAAGGTTGGCGAGTGACGGACGGTTGCTCCCACAACTGGTAATGCTGTTTGGAACGTAATATTTATTTACGTTACGTTTTGCCAAGCCATGAGCTGTTTTATATGGACCATATTGTTTCGGTCGACTATGAGAATGATCACATTCTTGACTTAAGTATTTTTCACACTTATATTATTTTGTGTGTGTGTGTGTCGGTACATTCAAATGGGTCGAAGTGATTTTTTTTACAAAAATTATTTTTTTAGCCATCAAATGAGAATACACTAAATGATAATGGCGAACATGAAATTAGATATATGTATTTTGCCAGTAGTCAGCCTCCATATAGTAGTCTATGTAGCATTCGATGAGCGTAATTTTCTGCACCCTCAAAATCATGGCCATTAAGAAGCAATGTAATCAGAGAGTAACAAAATTTGGAGAGCATCTGCACATGTTCAGGAACTGCTGGGCTGATTTTGACAATTAGCACTATTTCTTAATTGTCTCTTGGCAGAAAAGGATCAAACACAAAAAAGAAAAAAAAAAAAAAAACGAGTCAAATAGAAATGTTAATGAAAACTATCCTTGTGACATATATTTTTATACCCTACAACACTATGAGTTGGGGGTATTATAAGTTTGATTGGGCCAAAAATTATGTAACACCTCGAAATATTGATTTCCCACATAGGAAAGTATATATGGATATTCCTATCTCGCCGAGCTGAGTCGATCTAGCTATGTCCGTCTGTCCATGTTAATTTGTAATCACTCTACAGGTCGCAATTATGGTCCGATCCTCACGAAATTGAAAATGGAGGTGGGACTATGGTAAGAATAGAACCCTCTTGCTTTTGGAGATGATCGCATAATATTAAGGGATTGAAATGGACCAAAAACTGAAAAATTTCCTGATTTTGCAGTTGCTCCACAGGCCGCATTATGGACCAATCGAAGCGGAAGTTAGCATGGGGCTAGAGCTTAGGGCTGGGTAGAAGCCTTCCAATTTTGAAGGTCATTGGGTAATATTTAGTGGGTGAAATAGACCATAACGTTCGTGTTAAATAAAAGTCAAATTTTCCATTAAACCGCGAATATTTTTTATCCCGACGAATTCACAAATTGACGAACTGGTCAATTCTTTCGATGCCGATAGTAAATATATCGGATATATATAGCGAAATATACAGAATGCTAGAATGCTTATATCTCAAGAATGGCTGAACCGATTTTGACAAATTTTGATAGACCCATAGTTACTTTTGAGAACCTTCATAGAATCACTTTCTGAGTCGATTTATGCATGTCAGTCCGTCTGTCCGTCCGTCCGTCCGTCCGTCCGTCTGTCCATGTATTCTTGTGAACAAAATGCAGGTCGCATTTATTATCCGATTGAGATGATTTTTTCCAAACAATATTTTTTTGGCTCAAGGACGAACCCTATTGAAATTGGTGAGAATCGGATCAAATTTAGATATAGCTCCCATATATATCTTCATCCGATTTCGGGTTAAATGTGCACCAAATATCCACTATCAGTCCACATTACCTGAATTTTGGCACACCCAACCGAGTTCGGTCTAGAAGCAAGTATATCAAATTTGGAGAAAATCGGTTCAGATATAGCTATAGCTCCCATATATATCTTTCATCCGATTTGATCTTTAAGTCCCTCACATTCCTACTATGCACTCCACAACCGTGATATTTGGTACCAGGTATTAGATGGAGCACAGAAATAGCTGTTTTATATTTTATCGAAATCGGTTCAGATTTGGATATAGCTCCCATATATATCTTCATCCGATTTCGGGTTAAATGTGCACCAAATGGCCAATATCAGCCCAAATGGCCCGAATTTTGGCACATGTGACCGAGATTAGCCTTAAAGCAAATACAACAAAATCGGTTCAGAAACAGCTATAGCTCCCATATATATCTTCATCCGATTTCGGGTTAAATATGCACCAAATGCCCACTATCAGTCCAAATTACCTGAATTTTGGCACACCCAATCAGATTTTGATATAGCTCCCATATATATTTTCATCCGATTTCGGGTTAAATGTGCACTAAATGGTCAATATCAGCCCAAATCACCAGTCTAGAAGCTAATACGTAAAATTTGGAGAAACCCGGTTCAGAGATAGCTATAGTTCGTAAAATGCACGATAGAATTAGATAGATTTTGATTTTGTACCAAATATCTCATAGAGCTCTGAAATGCCCTGTATAAACCTTTTTACGAGAGCTCTACTAAATATGCATAGTGGTGTAGGGTATCATATAGTCCTTACTGGTTTCATTTTGACTTATAATATTGAAGTGTATATATTTTGTGATATTTTTTCACCGTACAACACAGGTTGGGTTTATTATATACAGATTGCAATTATCGTCCGATAGGATAGGATTCGGCTCAGAAGGGCTAGGTCTATTGTTTTCAAAGATGTCCGCTATATATTTAGGGTTTAAAATGGACTAACAACTAAAAATTTTTCTGATTTTGCACCCGTTATAAAGGTCGCAAATAGAAACCAAAGGACACGAAATCTCGTATGAAGTTGGAGTTTAGGACAGCGGGTAGAATGGACCACTACTCTTGTGTGCAAAAATACCAACATTTCCATTCCAGATGATCGCAAAATATTTAGGGGATCAAATGAACCAAAAACAGAAAAAATTTCCTGATCCCACAATTGAAGCCAATCGATACGCGGAGAAGAAAGTTAAGGACAGGGAAGAAGTCTAGCATTTTGGATAACCATTGGATTATATTTAGCTGTAAAATGTACCACATAAATTAATAGCACGACGGAGTGCGTAAATATTGGGCAAATGGCCCCGGTCAAAATGATATCTGGTCTGTGCTCCGTGACATAATTTCAAAAGCGAAATCTTCCGAAATGGGTTTGGACATAAAGGGGCTTCTAACATATTGTAGTGTTGTAGGGTATCACATGGTCGGCCCCGCACGACTTTGCTTACTTGTTTTTTTAATTTTTCGTAAATGTTTATATCGTATGACATTTTTTCAATTTGACATGCTATATTGGATTGTACATTTATTATTGTTTTTTTTATACACTCAGCTATATAGCTAGAGAGGGTATAAATCATTTGATACGGTCAAACGTGCCTGATTGAAATAACGGTTTTAGACCCTAGGTCTCTTTAACCAAATCCATTTCAGGACATTTGGACTCGATCTAGCGAAGTCCGTCGTCCATCTGTCTGTCTGTCAGGTTGGCGCGCAAGGTAACTGTTGAAGCGATCATGGTACAATAAAAAGGTAAGATAGAGCTACCAGCTAGTTACAATTTGTTTCCAAATATGCCCGACTTTTATTTATGCACAGTGTAGGGTGCACATTAAAGATAATAACCATTTTTTTCATGGAATTGAAATATGGAGCAAGTTGGATAAAATTTTTGAAAGAAAATCCGGCCTTGTCTTTCATCATTTGCGCTTTTTTAACAATATTCAAAATAAGGAAAAATATTAAATAAATTGGAACAACCTGTTGAATCTAATTTTGAATAATTCTGACAGAAAGTGGGCATTTCCTCAGGGGTGTATTTCTGTACTTTTACGAAACTGTTCTACCTCCTTGTTGTACCATGGAAGGGAGTATCCCATTTTTTCCAAACTTGATACATCGTAATATATTGACTTAGATCGAGTTCGGATATGGGCAATATCTGTCCACTCGTTCTGGTACCTCCCACACAAAATGTCACAATTTTCAAAGAAAATAATTTATTGCACATTAAGTGAAAAGATAATCCGATTTTGTCCCAACTTTGTGAATCCTAATATTTTCATCAGTGCTAGGTCAGGTGCGAAAACGGACAATATCGGTTCGCTGCATCAAGTACCTCACCCACAAAGGGTAAAAATTGTGGATAATTATAAGTCTAATAAAATATGATGTAAGTGTCCGATTGTCTTCAAATTACACACATCACAATATTTTTATTAATCCAAGGTCTGGTGTGAAGATGTTGTATATCGGTCTACTCCTTCTGGTACCTCCCCCACAAAGGGTCAACATTTTGAATATCCATGAGGCTCATAAAACACACAATTAATATTCTATTTTGGCACAGACTTGGCACATCTTTATATTCCTATAAACACAAGATCTGTTATAAAGATGGTAGAGATCGGACCATTCCTTCTGGTACCTCCCCAACAAGGGGTCGAAGTTTTAAATAACCAAAACGATCATAAAATCCGAAATAAGCATCTGGTTTATAATAAAAATTGTGGCACTTATGTGAGTCCCATCTGGGAATTATCATGCTTTGAAAAGATATGCATTAAAGACTAAAAGTATTAGATTTTATTGTTATATATAATTAAATTGCTTTAACCTTCCTTTCAGTTCATGCTCTAATCTCATCATAAGCTTACATCATGGAAAAATCACACATGGATAAATCCCAGCTCAGTACACCGACATCGACGACCACGACAACACCAACATCTCGCCCGTCGTCACGGCGTACCTCAACAATCATTCCTCGTGATTCGCTACCTTCACCGCCACCAGATCCCCGTGGTGGTGCCAGTCAAAGCGATAACGTCTTTGTCTATCCCACACCCAGTGAGAAAAGTCTACCCGCCGAACTACAAGGTCTACTGCGTTGTGCCGAACGTCAAGAAGAATTCCAACAAATCTTCAGTAAGAAAATTGCAAACGATTGTCGGACATTACACCATATGGATGATGCCTCCGCTCAGGGGGGCGGCGACGGAGCTGGTGGTGGTGGTGATAAACACACCTGTAGTTGTTGTGAAAAGCTCAGCAAAGAATGTGCTGAATTTATGGAGCCATTGCATTTTCGTTTAAATGGCGCTGTGACAGCTGCTCTGGCCGCCTACGGAGTCATAGAACAACTGAATCATCTCTACTCCATGTGGGAGCATTACATTAGCAAAGAGCGTGAGTTGCGTGAACGAAAGGAGTGTTTGCGTTATGTCAAATTATTAGAAAAAAAGGTGGGTGCTAGCTATTCAGTTACTCGGAAAAGGAATTTTAACATTATTTCCATTTTTCATAGCGGGCCGATGCTACCAAAGCAAAACCTTTGACTGGTGCTCCCTTATCGGACAATGAATTAGATCATCAGGATATGGAACAATCAATTGCCTTATTGGAGACGATCTTAAGTCCTGATATATTGGCCCGTTACAAAACTCAGGATTCCAAATTGTAAGTATATCCAAGAGAGGATATTGGAATGTAGAGTTGATTGACAGCTCTTTCTCTCTCTCACTCTTTTCCTTCTGTCTCTCTCAGACAACGTGAACGCAGCAAATCATTTATGATTGAAGATATGCCCAGCATCAGGGCTGATCGTGAGGCTTCCAAAAGTCACGGCGGTATACCACAACTGCTACGGCGGCAGAGCACATATTGCGATAGCAAATCCAAAGTATCAAAATGGACTAAGGTCAAGGCGGCCTTTAAGTGGGAGAAAGCCAATGTTCCAATAATGTATGAAACGAGTCGCGATGGTATCCATGTAGGCTTGCAGCCGAACAACAATGAAGTGGCTAGGTAAATCAGTGAAATTACATTTCTTTATGGGTGACATTGTAAACCTTAAGGAGGATTTCGATAAATGGAAGTTATTTTTAAGTCATCTATGGATAGTAGGTCTATGAAGATGTTCTATAGACAGAGGACTTGGAAGAGCCTTCAATACATATAAAAATAACTTGTTTGAGTTTTTATTCTCAGGAGACCTTGCTGTGGTCTTCCACACCCTTTAGGGGGTATTCTGTGCACCGAAGCCTTTTTCAAGACATTTATGGATAGACTATCATATCAAAATCCGCAATGGTTATAATTACATGAATTGCTATCGAAATTCTGTGCCCAAAAAAGATTCTGTGTATTCATTAGTTGAGAAGTGGTGAAGAGATGTTTTTTTCTAACCACAAAAATTCGAGAGATCGTGCTAAATTTAGTCCGCATACACCAAGGGGTTGTCCTTCGGATTTATTAATTTCATAGCAAATGCCAATCGTGCTGAAAACTGCAAACTTTTGAATTTGAATTTAGAGAATTGGAGGTAGGAACATATTTCCAATAATAATCATATCCCCAATTAAAGTTTGTGTAGTATGGAGGGTATATTCAGTTTGTCATGATTTAGCGATGTCCATCCGTCTGTCAGTCTGTGGAAATCACTCTAGCTTCCGAACGTAATAAAGCAGGTTGAGAAAATTTCACTCAAATGTATATTATGTCTGCAGGACATTTGGTATTGAAAATGGACCATGTAGATTTACGTTTGGTACAGCCGCAATATAACGGTACCTCCCAATATTCGGAACTTTGATAATTTTAGAGACATTATTCGGAGACATTTAGAGACATTAACCGGAATTGGTTCAAATTTGGTAATTGAAGTTCGAAATGCATACTACAGCCTACGACAGAAGATTGTCTGTGCAGTTCCACGTCTTTGTATACATTCGGTATTTGTAACATTTTAAAACACTTTTTAACGGATTTTTTTCTTTGAAAATTGCCAAATTCGTTCCAAATGGTGGAGGGCATTCAAAGTTCGACCCGGCCGAACTTTCAGCTTTTTTACTTGTTTACTGTTAGCCTCATACCATTGCAAAGGCGTTGTGGGTCAGTGCATCTTAATAAAATCATATTCCAATCTGTCACATGCCATATTTCATTGAAATTGGAGGTACATACCGTGTTTGGTGCATAAAATATGTGAAATCGGCCGAGAATATATATGGAAGATATCTACAAATTTTAACCGATTTCAAATTTGTTATTGTGTCCAAATTCCGCCACACATTCTGAATTTCATTGGAATAGGACATACATATGGTGTTTGGTACATAACATTCATAAGATCGACCGAAAAGTATATATATGAGAGATGTATCCAAACCTCATCCGATTTCAATATAATTTGGCAAATTTATTTTTGTACCAAATTTAGTCACTCATGCCGAATTTCATTGGAATCGGACATACGTATCGTGTTTGGTGCATCAAATATGTGAAATCGGACGAAAATATATATGGAAGCTATATCCAAATCTGAACCGATTTAAATATGATTTGACAAATTTATTTCCTGATCAAATCCCGACACAAATTTCAAATGTCATAGAAATCGAACATACACAGCGTGTTTAATGCATCAAATACATGAAATCGGGCGAAAATATATATGAGAGCTATACCCAAATTTGAACCGATTTCCATAAAAATGGCAAATATATTTTCTAATCAAATAAAATATATATGGGAGCTATATCCAAATCTGAATTAATTTTCTAATCAAAATCCCGTCACATATTCCAAATTTCTTTGGAATCGAACATACATATCGTGTATGGTGCATAAAATACATGAAATCGGTCGAAAATATATATGAAAGCTATATCCAAATCTGAACCGATTTTAGCATAATTTGACTAATTTATTTTCTAATCAAAATCCCGTCACACATTCCCAATTTCATTGGAATCGAACATACATATCGTGTTTGGTGCATCAAATAAACGAAATCGATTTAAGATATATATGGGAGCTATATCCAAATCTGAACCGATTTCAATATAATTTGACAAATGTATATTTGTTTTAATTTCCGCTATATATTCCAAATTTCATTGAAATTAGATGTTTGGTGCATCAAATACATGAAATCGGGCGAAAGTATATATGAGAAAAATGGCAAATATATTTTCTAATCAAATCCCGTCGTTTAATCCAAATTTGCAGAATGTATCTGTAATCGATAAAATCCAAATTTTTGGGAGGTACCTCCGATTCTGACGGCCCCGAGTGGAATTTCAACAAGTCAAAAAGTAGTAAGTTCGGCCGGGCAGAACTTTGAGTACCCTCCACCATTTGGAACGAATTTGGAAATTTTCAGAAAATAAAATCATTACAACATTCTGTTAAAATTTTAAAAATACCAAATATAGGCATTCAATTGAGGTGTATACGATGTAGGCCTACATAGGCATTGTTTGTCATAAGCTATTACCATATTAAAATTCGTAACTTGAAATAAACGGTGAATAATGTTGCTAAAATCATAAAAATATCGTATATAGGGAGGTACCGTTATATCGGAGCTGTACGAAGGCCTGGACCTGCATAGACAATTTTCTGTCACAGGCTGTAGCATCCATTACGAACTTCTAATACCACACCTCAAACAATTTCGGTGGGTATTGTACCTAAAATCGTCAAAATACCGAATATAGGGATGTACTGATATATGGGCCCTATACGAAGACCTGAACCAGCATAGATAATTTTCTGTCTTAGGGTGTAGTATTCAATTCGAACTTCAAATACCAAATTTGAAACAATTCCGGTGAATAATGTCGCAACAATCATCAAAATACCGAATATAGGGGGGTACCGTTATATAGGGGCTATACGAAAATGTGGACCTGCACAGACAATTTTCTGTCTTAGGGTGAAGTATCCAATTCGAACTTCAAATACCAAATTTGAAACAATTCCGGTGAATAATGTCGCTAAATTCATTAAAATACCGAATATCGGGAGGTACCGTTATATGGAGGATATAAGAAGACGTGGACTTGCACAGACAATTTTCTGTCTTAGGGTGTAGTATCCATTTCGAACTTTAAATACCAAATTTGAAACAATTCCGGTGAATAATGTCGTTAAAATCATTAAAATACCGAAAATCGGAAGGTACCGTTATATGGTGGCTATATGAAAACGTGGACCTACATGACCCATTTACGAACTTAACCTGCCTACTGGAATACTAAACATGTGTGCAAAATTTTAGCCATCTATCTCAATTCATTCGAAAGATAGCGTGATTACAACAGACAGACAGACGGACATAGCTAAATCGTCTTAGAATTTTACGCTGATCAAGAATATATATACTTTGTTGGGTCTGACATGAGTATTTCGAGGTGTTACAAACGGAATGACAAAGTTAATATACCCTCCATAGAATGGTGGAGGGTATAAAAATATGTAAAGCCTATGTTACTTTCAGGCGATGTTGTAGTATACTTGGAAATTTTCAGGAAAATCTGTTCAGCGGTTTTCGAGTCCATTACCCATCAGACGGGAAGATATTCACATTTTATTATTAGCCCAGGAATACCTACGATATCTCACATCCATTTCTTATTTATTTTCATTCCATTACAGATATTTGCGTGTACCCTCCGTACCCTGCGGCAACAGTTCGGCTGACAGCATCTTAAGTTCATCATCTGGACATTTGCTAAGTGAAACAGGCACGCCGGGCACTATCAGCTCAGCCAGTTCAATGGACGATATTGATAACACCGGCTGTCCAATGAGTATTCATATTTGTTATTGTTGTTAAACACAGTAATTTAAATTTGCTCTGTTTTTCCATTAGGAAGAGACTCATCAAAAAGTGAAACATTGGAAACATCAACTGAACGGTCAATGTCCCAGCCAACGGTGCAGGAATCCAAGTCGGCCGATACTTTAATAGTGGATGATATCAAATATGCAATGCCACCGAAATCATCGTCGAATAAATCGATACGACGCAGTAAAATGGTGTCTGACTTTGAGGTGGTGCCCGAGGATGTTGAGGCGGTTATAAAAACTCAAACAAAGCGTAAAAATCCTCCACGACCCTTAGATCTAAATCTGAGACAGGTGAGGCACGAAATTTAATGTGGGAAATTTTTCCACAAAAAATAAAGGAAATCTTCTCTACACTTACAATGCCGACGTTGGGCGCAATTTAAAATTGTTATTCTTATTCCAATATTACAATATATCTTGAATCCTTTCCATTTGGCACCTTAGGATCTAAATGACTCGGAAAACTATTTTGCATCATCGCAGTTGCTAAAAGCCAGTCCCCAGGAGGGTACCCAGTCCTTGCATCGGGCTCTCAAGAAAGTTAACTCCCCCGTAAATTCCTCTGTACCATCTAGTCCTTCACGACATTCTGATTTCTTTGCTGAATTTGGTTGGTATTCAAAGCGTTGAGGAAACCACTTCTGTTTACATATATCTCTTCTCCCCTTCCCACGCAGAGAGTGAAGAACAGTCTAGCGGAGATTTCTCCGAGCCGAATTCACCGAAACACACAACTTCACGTCAAAGTTTTGAGTTGCAACAGGAGGAAATCAATCGTCGCTATCAGATACTACGAGCCAAACTGGATCAAGAATTCGAAACGAAACGCAAGGAATGGGAAAAATTGCAATCGAAACGAGGTAGGTATACAGAGACCCGAACAATCCACCGCAAGATCGTGTTGTCCCCTTTTGTATTATGAACATATGATTGTTTTTAGCTGTAGCTTTAGTTTCTGCTCATAAACCTCCAGAACCACTGTCACCGACCACCCACTCACCAAATATGGCCAGCAATTTTTCGACAAAAATGTTAGAGGAAAATCTAACACCTGACTTCAAGAAGAAGCTGCAAAATGGCGTGTCAAGAAACAGGCTTCGATTGGAGGTATACATGGAGGACCACCGGTGTCACCGATTTCCCCCAAGGACACAACCACATCCTGTTCAAGCACAAATGTGCCAAAGGATGCTAAAATCGATTGGAACCTGTGGAAAACTGGGCAATTGAAATTGGAGGGGCAGGGGTTGAAACCATTGCCAGACCAAAAGGATTTACCGGAAGAATTTCAAAAGAAGTTGGGTAAGTTGGGCTGAAATACCTAATAGTTTCCGTTACAAAACAACATCTCCCCTTTTTTACAGAGGAATGGAATAAAATCAAACGTGGAGGCTCTGCCACGAATTGTACCGATTCGCTTAAGCGGCACAAGCATGGCGGTTCGGGAAAGAAGGGAGAGTCTGACGATGATCGTGGTGGCGGTGGAGGTGTCAGCAGTGATAAAGATAAACGCACGGATAAGCATAAACATCACGATAAAGAGAAATCGGAGAGGTAGGTAAATCGAGGCAGCACGTAGTTTTTCTGTAGAAGACCATTCGAAGGTCTTTTGGGTACAGGAGACCATCAAAAGGGGTTGTCTTTAGAAGAGATTTTTTGGAGGTCTTCCGTCTCCTGGAGGAGACCTTCCGAGGGTATTTGTCTGTGGTTGACTTTCTGAATACCTTTTGCGTATAAGGAATATACCTGTTTACAATAATTTCGAAGGTCGTCTTATGGAAAACATCTTTAAAAGATCTTCCAAAGGGTTCTTCTTTTTATAGAACACATCCGAAAGTCTTCTGTCTTCTTTCGTTAGAAGATCTACTCACTTTCTTTACTTATAGACGATATTTTGAAAATCGGAAGAAGAACTTCCATCTGTCCATAGAAAATCATGCGAAGGCTTTCTTTCCATAAAATAATTCCCAAAGATCTTTTGTCTATGAAGTACTTGCCGATAGACTTCTGATTATAGGAGACCTTCCGAATGACTTGAATCTATGGAAAAGTTTTTAAAATATAATATATATAGCGACCTTCCAAATGTCTTCTGTGTACAGGAAAGTATTACGTCTGCAGAAGATTCTGAAAATGTATATCTATGGAAGTAAATATGAAAATCTTCTGTATAAAGAATACAGCACGAAGATCTTCTGTAAAAGAACACAATCTACTTATAGACGACCTTCCACAGGTCTTACGAAAAACTTCTTTCCCTTTAATATGTCCTTCCAAAGCTCTTCTGTCTGTAAATGGCATTCCTTCTGATGATTTTCTGTCGAAGGGAGTCATTTAGAAAGTTTCATATCATACAATGTCTTCGAAGATTTATCCATGTTGTGAGTTTCTACTTAACATTTATCTCCCACAAATACTTTCTCTGCAGATTGGCAAAACTAAAAGCCATCGTCAGTGATCATCCAGCCAAGGAGATTGAAGTGAAGACCTCTGCCGGGGTTATGAAATTCGAGGGTATTTCCCGCAAGTTTACACGTAAACTTTATGAATGGGAAAAAGCTCGTGGTATTGGACCAGAATCGTCAACATTCGCACTGCTACATCCGGGCTACTGTCCCATTGATGTGAAACGCATTTCCAAGGAGACACATAATCGTAAGAGTTAGTTGGTGTTGTTGCTTTCTAGTTGCTCATTTATAGCTGAACTCCATGTTGTATCTTTCCATAGATGAAAATTCTCCTACGCTCAGCCGTTCGTTGTCATTGGACAGTATTTCGCCCAGTATTGCATTGCCTGTGATATCGCAGCAAGCTTCCAGTCTCTCATTGAACGATGTCAATGAGTTGAAGGAAATGGAAGGTGTTGTTAGCAGTACCGATGCCCTGGCCATTGACAGCGATTACAAGAGGTGTGACGAGCCCGAAGCTGTTATGGTCGAGGTGGAAGATCACATTGTGGAAACGGCCTCGCCGCTGGTGGTAGCCCATGCAATGGGCAAGCAGGAAACGCCCGTATACAAATATGAGGAGAAAGCTTGTAAAGATTTTTGGTATGCCAAAATTACGTTGATTATGATGATGCAATTTGTTAATCCCAATTTTCTACGCAGCAATACAAGAAAAATACAAAGTTTTGAGTCTCATACCAACATTGCTCCACTTTTGAATGTTTTGAAAAATTCGGAAGAGTTGTTAAAGTTGCTGAAGAAGAAATCACCCGAAATATCGGAAAATACGGCTTTACGTTTTTGTGAAAGCACTTTGGCCCTGATTCGCAGCAGTTATACATATTATTCGGCCAATCTGGTTAAACCAAATGTTCTGAATGCCATTTCCGATGTACAAAACGAATTGAGTCGTTTGAGAAGTTTGGTAAGTAAAGAATGGAATCTATCATAGGAAGGAAGTAGGTGAAATCTATTGTGCATCATAGGCTGTAGTATTCATTACGAACTTCAAATACCAAATTTGAAACATTTCCGGTGAATATTAAATGTCGGTTAAATAACCAAAATACCGAAAATAGGGAATATGGGGGCTAAACCAATATAAATATAGGACCTATACCAACACGAGGACCTACATGGCCCATTTTCAATACCAAAAGTCCTGCAGACATAAAATACATTTGAGTAAAATTGTATGAACCTACTTCATTTCGTTCGGAAGCTAGAGTGATTTCCACAGACGGATAGACGGGCGGATATCGCTAAATCGACATAGAATTTTATGCTGATCTAGAATGCCAAATTTTATATAACCTCCATACTATGGTGGAGGGTTTTAATATAATTGGTAACTGGCTTTCAGGGATGCATATAGGTGGGAGCTTCTGAAGCCCTGGATCTGGCTTTGCACAAGTAGCCATAGGGCAGTAAATACCTGTGTAAATAATTGTTTAAGATTGTACTTTAAGAATCACAGCAGAGATGCATCCAAAGTCTTTTAAAATTCCGATTACTTTGCGGAAAATGCCCACATGTTCGGGGATTAAAGTGAGAACTAGCTTTAATAGTCTAACCATCTAAAGGTCGATGCAAGAGGATTCAGTTGCGGCTAGTTTGTAACTATTTCATTACGGAAAGGTTAAATTCGGCGGCGACGACTTTATAATACCCTACACCACTTTGCATATTTAGTAGAGCTACCCATAACAAACACACGTTTTTATGTGGAATTGATGAGAACTAAATCATACAGCTATTATCGTATTATCGCTACATCCAAATCTGAACCGATCTCGATAAAATTTGGCAGAGGTATTTCTATGATGCATTTTATAGTTGACACCAAATATCCTTGTTAAGGAGAGCATTTTGCGGGTGTGAGGGACTTAAAAATGAAATCGGATGAAACATATATATAGTACCTACAGTTAAAATATAACTGATTTTCACCAAATCTGATACACTTTCCCGGCTAAATTCGTTTGTATGTGAACCGATCTGTGTTTGATATATTATTACGGATGTGGAGGAAAAATAATAAAATCGTATTAAAGATATATATGAGAGTTATAGCTATATTTGAACGGATTTCCACCAAATTTGACAAATGATCAATTTGATCGTATGTACCATTCTATTTGGACTAATATTACGCATTCGGTGCACAAAAGATGGTTAATCGATCGAAGATATCTATGAGAGCTATATCTAATATTAACTCCAATGACCCATGCAAAATTTTATGTCGATGAGGCAATAGATTCGACCTGTACCTTGTTTACAAAAATACATGGACAGACGGACTGGCGTAAGGACATGCATAAATCAACTCACAATGTGATATATGCAGATCATCAAGGAAGGGAAGATGTTCTGAGAGCAAATCTACAGATCGGCTATATTTACCGAGAATATTTACCGACCTTCTATGACTGACGGGTTCTCGATGCAGATATCTACATAACTTCTAAGTAATGAGAAAATCTACAGACCCTTTATGAGAAGATCTACGGATCTCCTATGAGAAGTCTTACGGGTCGTTAATGAGGATATCTATTGATCATCTAATAGAAAATCTTCCGATCTTCTGGAGACGATCTAATAATCCTTTTAGGGGAATGTCTACCGACAACATACCCACAAATCTTCTCTGAGAAGTTCTTCAGATTTTCTTCGGTTTCTTAATGAAAATATTTGCTGATATTCTAAGATAAGATCCAGAAGATCTAATGATTTTTTAAGGGAAACACTATTGATCTTCTAACAGAAGGTCTTCTCTGAGAAAGTCTGCAGCTCTTCTGTGAACAGTTTTCCTGCGAAAAGACCTTCGGGTATTTTAAGAAAAAAAAACTACAGATCTTCTGCAGAATTTCTACAGGTAAATCAGAGGATTTTCAACGAACAATACCCAGATTTTCTATTAAAATAACTTTTGGTAAACTACGATAAACTTCCAAAACAAGATCTACATATCTCCTTAGAGAAAGCACATATTTATGACTCTCATTCAATAAAAAAAAAAAAAATCTACACATGACCATTATTAAGAATAGTTTCAAACTTTTGGATTTTCAGTGCGAGAAGAGCCCTTTGGATGAGGCCTGCTGTCAGGAACTCATGGAGGAACGCAATGCCGAGTACAATGAAGAATTCGAGGGATTACACGAAACTTTGGATATACTAAAGCAAAATATACGTGAGTCTTTTTATTATTATGAGGGATAAGACCGTTAAAACCATTTTCTTTCAGAGGGTGGTATGCCACGCTATTCCAAGGACATGGTACCGGATATCAACATAATTTCCGAAGAAGGATTCAATTCGTCATCGTTTTGTAGCTTCGGGAGATAATCGCAACGATAATCTGTCAACAACTTTGGAGGCCACAGATGAGTTGAGTACTTCTATGGTGGAAAATGATGCCGAAGGTCCTTGTCCACCTGATGCCCACACTTCTGTCATAACTGAAAATGTTGCAAACACTTTGGTTGGTGGCAGTTGTGTAGGTGTGGCAGCTATGCGTTTTGTAAATGCAAACGGCAGTGGTAACGGGAATGGAAATAGTAACGGAGCTGGTGCTGGTGGCGCCGGCAGCATTGGCAGTGGGACCAAGAAAAAATTCGTCTGCGTAAAATGGGTTCCCGACAAACAGTAAAACCGAAAGCGACAGCAGTGATGAGGACAATTTGAATGTTTTGGAAACGCCACGTCGTTTGAAGCGGAAAAACTATCGCCTCAAACAAAGATCCTTTGATGAGGATCCCAGTTCGACCACCATTGCCGAAGAGGTTGGTGAACACATTCTAAAGAGCATGGAGCCGGTAAAAACACCACGACCCATGAGCCTGCCACTGTCCACGTCGACATCATTGCCCAGTGTATTCGTGAAAACAAAACGAAAAGTATTCACCACGGTACAGGAACCCAGAGCCATAGATGGCCTGGCAGTCATCGAACAGGAGGTGGTACATTCGCCTACCGAAAATGAGGATAAATCACCCATCAAGGATGGGGCGCAGAAACCACCCAAACTTCAGCGAGATGATACCTTGAAGGCCAGTGATAATAACCCCGAGAACTTGATTGCAAATATGCCGAATGAAATCAAGCCACGCCTATTGCTTGTCCATAAATCCATTAGTCTGGAAGATTTGCGCACAGAAATAGATTTTGAAGATAAGCGAAAATCACACAGCATGGAGAGTCTAAAAAAATCCGATAAACTGTGGAATCCCAAAGAACCCAGAGCTCCCCTGGCCTCGGATAGTTTTCGCAAAATAAATCGCAGTGTTGAGAATCCTTCGCGGCTTTCGAACATTTCCAAATTCCAAGCGCTCTTGGGTACAAACAAAAAGAAGGATCATATGTTTAAGAAACACAGCGATAAACCATTCATACCTCACCCCGTGGCCGCCAACAAGGGGGCCACAATGAAAAAAATTGAAAATAAAATTGCCAAAACCCAGTCAAGTCCCTACGTCAGTGAAACGGAAGGTAGCCCCGCCAAATACCTTTCCCCTGATAAGTTCGATAACACCATGCCGAGGATTGCTCGTAAATGGGATCGCAAGTCTCTGACGCCCACAACTCAACAAATTAAATTTGATTTTCCACCACCAAATATATCCGAACCTACTACACCAGTATTTGAGCAATATAATCGCCCTCTGACCCCTCTTACCCAAAGGGCCTTGCGTTTGCAAAAGGCCAAAGAGGAATTTTTGCGAGCCAAACCTTCGCCCAAGGCTGTGGTGAAACTACGTGAAAGCAGCACAAGAAGTGAAACATGGTTTGATAATCGTCAAAGTGATTTAAGTTTAAGTTCGACGACCGCCGACGAAGTGTCGCTGCAGGGCGATGTAAGAACGTCCCTGGAATCAGATTTACACAAAAGTCTAAGTGCGGATACAATTCGAGCTGAGTCGCCACCAAATTTGTCCGATGCTGGTACTGATCAAGATTTTGGTGGCATCTATGATTCCTTGCCACGTCAGGTGACAAGGTCAGGTAAAATTTCCAGTAAATTGGGATTTGCCACGTTGGCCTCGAAACTGCGCAAAGTCAAGGCCAAAAAACCCAAAGAACCTAAAAGATCGGTGGCTTCACTGATAGGCGGAACCACTGCCACCGGCACCACCTCTGGAGGCAGCGCTCTGTCGGCTCTGTGTCGTCAAAGTCTTTTGGCGGACATCATTGCGGTACCCCAACAAATGGTGGCATCCGGCGAGAGTTCACGTAAAAGCAGCCTATCGAAACCACCATCACCCCTACTAGCCACCAAAGATAACGTCAGAAAATCCCAATCATCGCCACATGCAACATATAGAGGGGGACCGGGTTCCTCGGCAGCGGGAACACATGATATAGGACGTCCCCCAGTGCACAAGTCGCAGAGTGAACAATATGTTAAACGTCACAAAGAGAGTTATGTCTAGTCAGTGTTAAAATTAAAAACACATTAACAGTAATTCAAATAATTTATTTCAATTTATTTATTTTTTTTTTGATGTTTTAAGTGCCATACACACATCTAAATATTATTAATTATTGCTATTTACATAAATATAAATAGATTTTTTAATGTAGTTTTAAAAATTTTTACAGAAGCCTATTTTCTGTTGTGTTTTTTTATTTTTTTTTTAAGCCATCGAACGCCGAAACCATTTTTTTTTTTAAATTGTAATATATGTTGTTTATTAATTTGATTACAAATATTTATTTCATACACAATAAACGACAAAAAATATGAAAACAAAATGTTTTGTACTTTTCTTAAAAATCTATACTAATAAAAGAGTAAAATAATTGACTGACTGACTAAATGACTCTAGAGCTAAAAACTTAAAATTTGAAATGACAGTCAAACTTGAGTAGTATGGTCGATGTAAGGTGGTATGTTTGGAAGTGCGTTCTTAAATATACGAAAAGTACTAAACGGTACTGCATTTGGTACACTTTGAATTTGGAGGAATGGATGGGGCTGGAATCTTGAAATGTGCTAAATGGTACTAAATTTGGATTTGGGTAAAGCGATAGAGACATTTGGAAATAAGAATACTATTGCATAGTAGGATTGGGGTATGTAGGAAGATTTGGAAATTCGTACTTATGTGTACTACATGGTACAAAATGTGGAACAATTTAAATTCTCTGAGAGTGTAGGAGTGTAGGGGATATGGAGGTACTAAAATGTACGTTTCGATTTGGGTGAACCGGTAGACTTGGAATACTGAAATTTGGAATTAAGATTACTGTTGGAGTGTAGGATTGGGGTATGTAGGAAGTTTTGGAAATGTTTGCTTATGTGTAAAATTTGAATTTTTGTGAACCAATAGATTTGGAATCCTATAATTTGGAATTAGGATTAGGTTAGGTGTACTAAATGGCACTTAATTTGCTACAAATTGGAATTGTGTTGAACTGATAGAGCTGGAAATCTGACATTTGGAAATAATTTTTCTATGGGACAGTATGATTGAGGTATGCAGGTAGTGTTTGAAATTTAGGATTGGGTTTTCTAGGAACTTTTGGTAATTCGTAATTATGTTTACTAAATGATAATAAAATATGGAACCAATTGTATTTAGGTGAACCTATAGAGCTGAAGTTCTGAAATTTTTAATCGTAGATTAGATTTCTGAACTTTGGCGTTCGGATCAGAATTGGTGTATAGTTTTGAAATATGGAGGTGATTTAGGAAATACATACCGCACATGTACGAAATGTACTAAATGAACAATATTTGAATTATCGTCGATATTGGTATGTGGAGATGAGGAAATGAATACTTACTTAAAGTACAAGTGGTACTAAATTTGGTATTAAGTATCCATAGAACAATAAATAATTAATGATTGATTGACTAATTCATCAACGACGAGGCGAAACGGCAAAAACTAAAATCTTGAAATTTTGCGGGTGGTCCATGTTGGTGGGTAGGTGTTCGATAAAGCTGAGGCTTCAGAAATTCGTTAAAGTACTAAAAATCACTATGTTTTAAATTCTTGAAATTTGGTATAAAAATAAGTTTGAGAAGTGGTGTTGGCATAAGTGATGTTTTTGGAAATGTTTACTAAGTGCAACAAATGTACTAAATGTTACATAATTCGGTACAATTTGGTTTTGATAGAACAGATTGATGTGGAATTTGTATACCCTAGACCATAAGGTGATATCATATTCTGAGTCCATTTATCAATGTCCGCCTGTCAATGTCTTTTTGTAAAAAAAGTACAGGTCACATTTATTTCCCGATCCAGATAAAATTTTGCACAAGTCATTTGATTAAACCAAGGACGAACCCTGTTGAAATTGGATATAATCGATCAAAATTTAGATATAGCTCCCATATATATCTAAATTTTGCATATACGACCAAATTAAGCCTAAAAACAAGTAAGCAAGGCTACAGTCGAGCGGGGCCGACCGTTGAATACCCTACAACATTATAATAAATGATACAGTTTATATAGGCGAGATATTCGAAAGAATTCCACAAGATATTGTGACAAATAATAAAAGAAAACCATCAGGTTCCGTTCTCTAATTTTCGAATAATAGCAACTTAAACTAATTTGCTCACTTCCAATTTATTGGTAGATGTTGCACTTAAATGGTCTTCCTAGATCTGGAACCAATATTTCCCAAAGACCTATAATCTCCCAGAAGTGGCAAAAGATTAACATTTATTATTGGTTTTTGACTAAAACGCATATATATGAGATACAGACATTTGACTATATTCTTCAACGAAATCAGCCTTAACGAAATAGTCAGAAGTGCGTCTTTCCTGTATTTTTGAATTCTCCAAAAAGTCACTGGAATGGACATTTTCGTATTTTGTCTACAAAAGTTGGCAAACTATTTCACACATTGAATATTTTTGGATGGCCATCCAAAGCTATTTGGTTTTTGCAATGTCCGGTAACCTCCATTCAAATGCGCGTGAGGATCGGGCGATAATTACGACTTGCTGATAATTTTGCAGTTTTTTTTTTGTCCATTTCAACCCCTAAATATATGGCGATTATCTCCAAAAGAGTAGGCTTCTATTCTGACCCTCATGTTATCCCTATGCAAAATTTCATAAGGATCGGGCCATAAGTGCGATCTGTATATGATATCCTGATATCCTAACTACTTAGTTTTGTTAGCTGTAGAAATATTACCAAATGTTTAATTCAAAATGAAAATATGCCAAAATAAATATGACAAAATTGAAAAAATATGAGAAAATATTACAAAATCAATATTTTCATCTTTAGAGAGATATTTTTATGCGATTTTTTAGACGTTTTTTGTTTCCTAACAAGAGGCCATTCTGAATTAATGAGAACTGTCGAAATCAGTTCAGCCGTTCTCGACATATAAGAGATCTTTCAAGCATATCTTCTTTGATAGACATATATATCGCACATATTTTGCTATATATCCGATTTGTTGGATGTTAACATCAATGTAAAGGTCAGAAGTAACCTTGTCATGGCTTCGTGATTTCGCCGGGATTTAAAATATTCACGGTTTAATGAAAAATGTTGAGTTTTTTCAACACAAAATATATGGTCTATTTTACCCGCTAAATATTATCCGATGACCATCCGAATGGTAGGCTTCTTCCCCGCCCTAAACTCTAGCTACATACGAAATTCCGCGTCGATTGGTCTATAATTGCGACCTGTATAGCTACTGCAAAATCCGATATTTTTTCAGTATTTGGTCCATTTCGACCCCTAAATATTACGCGATCATCTCCAAAAGAAATAGGGTTCTATTCTGACCCTAGCCCAACCTCCAATTTAAATTTCGTAAAGATCGGGCCATAATTGCGACCTGCAGAGTGATTACAAATTAACATGGACAGACGAACAGACGGACGGACGGACATACATAGCTAGATCGACTCAGCTCGGCGAGCTAGGAAGATCCATATATACTTTCCTATATGGGATACCAATATTTCGAGGTGTTACATAAATTCTGGCCCAATCAAACTTATAATACCCCCAACACATAGTGTTGTAGGGTATAATAAGCATGCCAAATTTGATCGAAATCGGTTCAGATATAGCTATAGCTCCCATATATATTGTCCATCCGATTTGATATTTTTGTCTCGCACAGCTAATGTGTGCTCTCCATAACAACGATATTCGGGGAATTATATCAAATGTAGCCCAGAATTACCTATAATGAAATATCTCAAAATTAATATGTACAACAGTGTAAGGTATAATAATGTCGGCTTTGCCCGACTTTTCACCTTTCCGTACTGGTTAAATGTGATATTGGGGTCTCTGCTGATGGATAGGGTTAAGATAAAGAGTTGGGGCTGGAAATGCATTCAGCAAGCGAACGAAAGGTACTACGTGGTAAATATTATAAAAAATCAGCATTGATATTTCGGATAAATCTACGTTAATAGTTTTGCCCGTCCTTGAAATTAATACTCTTAAAAATTCATGTTGAAATTTCTCAAAGTACATGAAAAATAATCCTAAAAAGTCCTTGGAAAGAGAAAATATTTTTTGGAGCCAAATGATTCCTTTAAAAATATTGTTCATAATTTATGTATAGAATTTTAAAAAATCGTTCTTGATACCTCTGATATTCTCTCAAATCCACGTTCATAGCTCTGATTTCCCTTCGAAAATATTCTTAACAATTCTCATAGATATCTCTGATAGTCGTACATATCCTATAATCTTTGATAGTGTTCTGAACGAATCTACGTAGCTAGTAATTTATTTTATCAAAAAATTATTTATATTAAATGCACGTTGGTAGCTCAAAATATGTTTACCCTCATTACTTCCGAGTAGAAAATATATTCCTAACTCCGACTGCATTAACTTACAACAACTACTTGACTTATCAATTACGAAATATAATTTTGAATTTTTGTTATAGTACAACAATAGCAATAACAATATCGTTAAATCGTTAACTATTGCTACCGTTCTGATTAAACCAAATTAAGCTAATCTAAGCTGAGATAACTAACAATAGCTGCGATAGTGTCTTTATTGCTCCCACTGGGTGGTTGTGGTGTGATAAAGAATTTATAAAAACAAACAGAATGGGCTATCGGCAAGCTATTGAAAAAATAAGAGTTAGCTCCTATTGCAATCTAATCGTCCAAAATAGTTGGCTAAAATTATTCAAGGCGTGTGGATCAAGGTGCAAGCGGAACAACCAAAAGAAATATGAATTTTTGCAAATTGATTTTTCTATTGGTGGCATTAATATGTGTAAGTATATGAAAGTTTTTTTTTTTTTTTTATGCAGAAGACTTTTAAAATTGGATTGCAATAAATCAAGTATTTGGTTGACTCGGATTTAAGAAAACCGTGTACTTTGTTTTTTTGAATGTGTTTGGAATTGAATCAATCTATTCCACAGCAATAAAAATCTTGCAACATTAGGGGAGAACGATGGTAATGTTTACCAGGGGGTAAGGCAGGGAATACCTAGGTTTCGGAAAGAGCCACCAATCCTCATCAGTTCCCTTGTTTTTTGTCTGGGATATTCTCCCCAGAAGTTATTTTAAAAATAACTTCTATGACAAAAAACATTTTTAACCCTAAGTGACGAGATCGTAAGCTTAATAGAAGAGAAGAATTAAATAAAAATAAAATTCTTTTGGAAAGTCTTCTAAATCTTACAACCGCACTTATAAACATTTACATCTTTCTCCACTTGTTATGCTTTCGTTCAACCTGAACGAAGTAGCATAACCATGTATGTTGGTTTTGTCTGTTACAACAAAAACCCCTACGTCAACCGTGCCTTGTCTATTAATAGAACAGTGTGGCTTGTTTGTTCGGGATACCGTAGTATTTTGTTGTTGCAAAATGGTCAGGCTTACGATCTCGTCACTTGGGTAAAAAATGTTTTTGTCATAGAAGTAATTTTTAAAATAACTTCTGGGGAGAATATCCCAGACAAACAACAAGGGAACTGATGAGGATTGGTGGCTCTTTCCGAAACCTAGGTATTCCCTGTCTTACCCCCTGGTAAACATTACCATCGTTCTCCACTAATAAACAAACGTTGTTTTTATAAAAACAACAATAAAGGGATAAAGCCTGACCATTTTGCTGACAACAAAATACTACGGTATCCCGAACAAACAAGCCACACTGTTCTTTTAATTTTTACATCAAAATAATTTCCAACAATTATAGTACGCATTTGCAAAATCGCCACAGATACCAACTAATACCTCAATTTTAAATTTCGGGATTCCTGTTCTAAACATTCACTCAATACCAATTTTAGTGATATTAGTAGTTTTTGTGTAATTACCAACCAACAACCAACAGGTTTCAGCTCTATCCTATCACCTAATACCAAATTTAGTTCAATTAAGTACTTTTCGAACAACTACAGTACTCATTTCGAATCCCACCTCCAAATCCCAACCTCAGATACCAACAGTTAGAATTTCATCTTTATGCCTTCACCCATTACCAAATTTAGAACTTTTCGTTCAATAATAGTACACATTTCCAAAACCATCTCTAGATCTCAATGCCAGATGCCAACAGAGACCTCTATATCAAATTTGAAGATTCCAGCCTTAATCCATCACCCAGTACCAAAATTAGTGACTTTTTGTACAAATAAAACACACATATCCAAAACCACAGACACCAATATTGACATATATATCCAACTTCAAGATTTATACTGGATTCCTCCACCCAATACCCAATTTAGTACTTTTCGAATAATTATAATACACTGTTCCAAAACCACCTCCAGATCTCAATACCAGATGCCAACAGAGACTTCAATATCAAATTTGAAGATTCCGGCCTTAACCCATCACCCAGTACCAAAATTAGTGTCATTTAGTACTTTTTATACAAATAAAACACACATATCCAAAACCACCTCCATCTCTTAAGAACAGACACCAGCAGTGACATATATATCAAACGTCAAGATTTAAACTCTTTTCCTTCACCCAATACCCAATTTAGTACTGTTCGTACAAATAAAGCACACATATCCAAAACCACTTCATCTACACACTTCTATATCAAATTTCAAGCTTTATACTATATATTTTCATCCAATACCCAATTTAACATTATTTAGTAATTTTTGTATAATTATAGCACGCATTTGCAAAACCAGTTTAAAATCTCAATATATCAATACCGTAATACCACAGTATCAAATTTCGGGATTTCAGCCCTATCCTTTCACCCCATACTAAATTTAGTACAATTTAGAATTTTTCGTACAAATGTGAGACGCATTTCTAAACCTCTTCTATCTCTTAACCACAGACACCAACAGTGACATCTACATCAGATTTCACGATTTAAAATTTATTCCTTCACCCAATTTGTTACTGTTTAGTTAGGGGTTCAAATGGACTAAAAAAATTAAAAATTTCTAATTTTGTAGTCGCTCTATAGGCCACAATTGAAAACTAATCGCCACGGAATTTCGCATCAGAAGAGGGTTAGGGACAGGGAAGAAGTCAAAATTGTAGATGACTATTGGATTATATTTAACTATAGAATGGACCACAACTTTCGTGTGAAATTGTTTTGAATACAACACGACGGAGTGCCTAAATATTGGCCAAATTCTCCGAGTCAAAAACCTAAGGCAACATCTGGACAGGGCTCTTTGACATTATTTGAAAAACGAAATCTTCCAAAATGGATTTGGATATAAGGAGACTTCGAACATATTGTAGTGTTGTAGGGTATCACATGGTCGGCCCCGCACGACTATAGCCTTTGCTTACTTGTTTTTCATATAGAATGCATTTCTAAACCACCGCCAAATATACAGGGTTGCCCATATTCGACGGACACATGTTTTTTTTTTTTAATCAAAGAAAAAAATAAAAATTTGGCGGTTGGCAATGTTAATCATTTAATTTGTTCCAAGTAGATTGGTTTACATCAATTTTTGAATAAGATATCTCTCAAATGGCCGTCTCTGGCGTTGATGACGTATTGTGCCCTTTTTGCTGCATTTTCCATCGTTTTTGCCAACATTTCGGCCGGAATAGCGGCTATTTCTTCACGAATGTTGTCCTTGAGCTCATCTACGGTCCTTGGCTTGTTAACGTAAACCGTTGACTTCAAATATCCCCACAAGAAGAAGTCAGGCGGCGTCAAATCGGGCGAACGCTGTGGCCAGTCCAAATCACCACTTTTCGACATCAAACGGCCCGGAGACAAATTCTTCAGAAAATCGATTGTTTCGCGACTTGAATCGAAGCGCCGTCTTGTTGAAACCAGAACTGCCTCATACGCTTTCGACGAAGAATTGGCATCACAAAATTGGTCATCATGTCGCGATAACCTAATTGATGGTAACAGCATGGCCATTTTCATTTTGGAAGAAAAACGGCCCAAAGACCGTTTTCGCACTAACGCCGCACCAAACTGTGACTTTTTCGTCATGAAGAGGCACTTCATGAATCTCCTGAGGATTCAGTGGTGTAAAAACGGCAATTTTGCTTATTTACGGTCCCATTCAATGTGAAATGGGCTTCATCAGACATGATAATTTTGTTCCAAAATTGCTCGTCATCTTCGGTCCATTTCGATGACTCTTTGGGCCCATTCCAATCGACGAGGCTTGTCCGCAGGCAACATTCTATGCGTCAATTGAATTTTGTACGGGAACAAATGCAAATCAATGCGAATAATCCGTTGTAAAGTGGACCGAGCCATGCCCAACTGCTGAGAACGGCGTTTTTGGGATGTTCTTGGGGACCTCTCAACACTGGCTCGTACGGCAGCGATATTCTCTGCCGATCTCCTTTGTCGACTTTTATATGTCCTCTTCGGATTAGAAAGAGCCTTACCAGTCGAAAATTTTTCGTATAAACGCTAAATGGTGTTCTTAGAAGGCGCACTTCTCACATTTTTTAATGTTTTAAAAGCACGTTGAGTTTTCACAATTCACTTCTACTGTTGAATGAAAATTTCAACTATTTCAGAGCGCTCGCGTGGTGTGTATTTGTTCATGGTAAAAATCTGCTTGGATTGACGCTTTAAACGCGGTATGTCATTAAGCGATGTGACATCTCTGTCTCTGTTATGGCGTTACCAGATGGGTCCGTCGAATATGGACAACCCTGTACCAGATACCATTAGTACTCTTAATATCAAATTTCAGAATATTGTCTCACTTCCAACATCCAATACCAAATATAGTACCAATCAGTACTTTTCGTACAATTAATGTACACATTTCCGAAAACACATTCATATTACCAGGCTAAACATGAACAGTGACCCTAATATAAAATAAAACCTGAAAGCACTCGCTGTTCACCTAATACCAAATTGTACCAAACGTAGTATTATTTAGTATTTTTCGTGGATTTTTAACACATTTCCAAAACCATCTCTTTAGCAGAAAACATACCACCAACAGGGATTCCTATAAAAATTTTCAAAATTCCAGCTTCAAAAAATTAAGAACCATTAAGTTCTCATAATAATACCATCGAATTTCTAAAACCTTTTGTTACACTTTTCCTTACTCCTATGTGACTATTATTCTAAAGTATTCAGAATTTTAGCTCATTTTCGTTTTTCAATACCGAGTATTAAATTTTACTACTTTTAGTACACATTTTCAAAACCCCAGCCCTATTACATGCCTACGTAGCAAGACTGGCCATGGTTTCATGGTGGTGATATCAAGATTCTAGCTTCAGCCGTTTCGTCTGGGGGTTGATTCTATGTCAGTCAGTTATTTCACTGCTATTTTATATGTATAGACAATGTGTACTGGAAAAGTTAGGTTTAACTCTAGTTTAGTAAAAACTCTTCAATTTGCGCGAAATAAACCTTTTTTATTGAAAACATAATTTTAATGAACTGGTTAGAATCGGGTTATGCGGATGGAAAGACCCATATTTCTGGATCCGAAAAAGGTATTACCGCAAACTGTAGCTTTTTGGAAAGGTAAGAGTGTCTGCCATAATTAAGCATCAATTTTGTTGACCCCAAGAATGGGCCCTTATTCGATTTTTTAGGGGTTTTATAAAAAATTCGGGTCCAAAAAATTAATAATTTGACTATAACTTCTGAAATATGACCACTTACCCAATCATATGACCGCTTGTTGGATAGCTATTTTCATTTTCAAACGATAACTGTATTGTATATATCGCGTAGGGGGATCCGGGTCCAGACCGGGTATTGAACCCGGACTTTCTGGGGTCCCGGGTCCGTCCCTCAAGAAAAAATCGTTTCCCGGAATCAGGGCAAAAATACCTACCTCTGAAAAAATTTTCGAAAAAATCAAAGAGTTTTTACCAAACTAGAGTTGCTCCCCTTTTGTCTACTCGAATAAGTTCTGCTGGTCGCATTGGATAATCTTAAAAATCAGCCTTTAAACCTATTAAGGAACTATATGACTGTACTAAAATTAGTGAATTTCCCCTTTTCATTTACAGCTTTCTCATTCATCGCTGGCCTTTAAGGAAATCGTTGGCATGTTAGATGGAAATCATGATTTGAAACGTGAAGAAATTAATGCTCTGCGTCCCCTCTTCGAAGAATTGCAACGTCAATATGACTTCATTATGACAGAATCCGAAAAGGAAGGTAACAAAGTCGATGAAAAATTTACCGAAATCTATGAGACCACCGTCAAAGATTTCCATGAACAATTTGCTGCACTTATGCAGACGGAAGCAAGCACCGTTTATGACACCTCATTGCCCAGCGTTGAGGAATTAATTGGAACACCTGATTTTAGCCAAATGACAGAGGAGCAAATTAATGAATTCTTAGATATGCAATCTCTGCTCCAGGACACATTAGATGAAACGCAGGAGAGCCTCAACGATTTGGTTCGCCGTGCTTTGGAAATCGAGAGTAGTCTATTGAAGCTCAACAAACCCAAAATTGTTATGGCCGTCTTAAATGCCCTCGGTGCCATGTATAATGTGGCCGGAAGAGTTGGAAGAGCTGCCTACTGTACCTATTCCCATGTACCACAACTGAATGCATCGTTGCATCATGTCTACGATGGTGTTGATTGTTATCTCTTCACCACGAAAATGATTGTAAAAATCCAAAATGAAACCTATGATACAGTGAAAGTGGTAAGGAAGACCATATCCGATTTGGCTTCAGTCTATAAAAATGTGGCCAGTAAAAACTCCATAGTGGGAAAAATTGTCTCTATGCTACTGAGCTTGAAAAAGATTTTATGGAGTGTTGGATCTACTTTACGTCAAGCCAACCATGTTATCGACGAGATTGTTACCAAAATGCCTGATGCCACTCTGCATGTCTACGATTGTGGTACCACATTTGTGGATCGCATTCCATTTGTTGTCCAGTCGGTGGCCAATGTCACCGAATGCATTATGTTTGTGGACGATATGAAAAATGATTACGGTTTCTTGGATCCAGAAGATTCGACACGCATTCCAGAATTATATCCCGATCCGGAAAGTGGTGAAGATAGTAATGAAAGTTTTGAAATGCCTTAAAATTAAGAGGGTGTTCTTTTCTGTGTAAATGTTATAATTAACTGAAATTGAAATACAAATCTGTAAATAACTTTATAACTAGGAGGTCGAGCATTTATTTGACTAACTGGAATTAATAGAACTAGTTGGTTAATTCTTCTTGACCCTTTGGGTTTCATAGATCTAGTTTGTTACAACGTCGTGCGTTTAGATACACATGTTATTAATGAAAGGGTTTGTTTATTTTTATACCCTCCACAATACTATGGAGGGTATATTAACTTTGTCATTCCGTTTGTAACTCCTCGAAATACTCATGTCAGACCCAACAAAGTATATATATTCTCGATCAGCGTAAAATTCTTAGTCGATTTAGCGATGTCCGTCCGTCTGTCTGTTGTAATCACGTTATCTTTCGAACGAATTGAGATAGAACACTAAAATTTTGCACACATGTTTATTTTTTCAGTAGGCAGGTTAAGTTCGATATTCGGCATTTTGATAATTTTAGCGGCATTTTTCAACGGATTTGTTTTAAGTTTGGTATTTAAAGTTCGAAATTGATACTACAGCCTACGACAGAAAATTGTCTGTGCAGGTCCACATCTTCGTATAGCCCCCATATAACGGTACCTCCCAATATTCGGTATTTTCATGATTTTAGCGCATTATTCGTCGGAGTATTTTCAAATTACGTATTTAGAGTTCGTAATGGGAACTACAGTCTGTGACAGAAAATTGTCTATGCAGTTCCAGGTCTTTGTATAGGTCCCTGATATATGGGACCTACCTACCTCCATGTATTCGGTATTTTGACGAAACGGCTGAAGCTAGGATTTTGATATTTTGGTAAAGTATATATATTCTCGATCAGCGTAAAATTCTTGGTCGATTTAGCGATGTCCGTCCGTCTGTCTGTTGTAATCACGCTATCTTTCGAACGAATTGAGATAGAAGACTAAAATTTTGCACACATGTTTATTTTTCCAGTAGGCAGATTAAGTTCGTAAATGTGCCATGTAGGTCCACGTCTTCATATAGCCCCCATATAACGGTACCTCCCTATATTCGGTATTTTGATGATATTAGCGACATTATTCAACGGATTTGTTTTAAGTTTGGTATTTGAAGTTCGAAATTGATACTACAGCCTATGATAGAAAATTGTCTGATGCAGGTCCACGTCTTCGTATAGCCTCCATATAACGGTATCCTCCCAATATTCGGTATTTTGATGATTTTAACGTCATTATTAGTCGGAGTATTTTCAAATTACGTATTTAGAGTTCGTAATGGGAACTACAGTCTGTGACAGAAAATTGTCTATGCAGTTCCAGGTCTTTGTATAGGTCCCTGATATATGGGACCTACCTACCTCCATATATTCGGTATTTTGACGATTTTAAGTACAATACCGACCGAAATTGTTGAGATGTCGTATTTGAAGTCCGTAATGGATGATACTGCCTGTGACATAAAATTGTCTATGCTGGTCCAGGTCTTCGTATAGGTCCGATATAAAGGTTCCTCCCTATATACGATATTTTGATGATTTTAGCTACATTATTCACCGTTTATTTCAAGTTCGAATTTGAATATGGTAATGGCTTATGACAAACAATGCCTATGTAGGTCCACGTCGTATATTTTTAAAATTTTAACAGAACTTTTTAAGGATTTTTCTTTTTTTTTTTTGAAAATTTCCAAATTCGTTCCAAATGGTGGAGGGTATTCAATGTTCGGCCCGGCCGAACTTACTGCTTTTTAACTTGTTATTAATAAAATAGTACTGACTGACTGACTGCCTTAAAGATTCATCAATACCCAGACGAAACGGTTGAAGCTAGCATCTTGATATTTTGGGTGAGGGTCAGTCGTGGTCCGAAGAAGTTAGTTTTCGAAGTGAAATATTTACGAAAATTACTAAAATGTACTATTTATGGTACAATTTAAATTTAGAGGAACGGTTGGAAATGGAATCCGGAAATTTTAAATTAACATTACAGGCGGAGTGTAGGTTTGGGATATGAAGGAAATTTTTGAAATTTGTACTTACAAACACGAAAAGTACTAAATGGTACTAAATTTGGTACAATTTGGATTTGCGTGAACCGATAGAGCTGGAATGCAAAAATTTGGAAATAAGATTACTATTGCATTGTAGGATTGGAAACTCGAACTTATTTGTACTAATTGGTATTAAATTTTGTACAATTTGCACTTTGCCGAATCGATAGGTGTGGAATCCTGAAATTTGGAATTGCGATTACTGTGGGAATGTAGGACTGTGGGATGTAGGAAGCTTTTGAAATTCGTTCTTATGCGTACTGAATGGTACTAAATTTAGTACAATTTTGATTTGAGTGAACCAATAGTGATAGAATCCTGAAATTGGGATATAAGATTTCTATGGGATTGTATGATACTTAATGGTGCTCAATTTAGTACAAATTGGAATTGTTGTGAACCGATAGAGCTGGAGATGTACAAAAGAGTTTTTTGAAATTCGAACTTCAAGGTTACGAAAACTTCTAAAATGGTACTAAACGTCTACAATGGTTCCATTTGGTATGGATCTAAAAACATGCAATTTGGGATGATAATCATGGTTGGAAAGTAAGTTTGATATATGAAGATGGTTTTGGAAATGTGTACTAAGTGTGCAAACTGCACTAAATGGTACTAAATTTGAAACAGTTTGGTTTTGGGGGAACGGATGAAGCTGGAATTTTGTATTGGTGGTAGATTTGTTATAAAGAGGTGGTTTTGGAAATGTCTACCACTAGAGCTGGAAAAGTACTAAATATTATATATTGAAATTTTGTATCAAGGTTATCATTCATTTGCAGATGGAAGTGGGCTGGACACATGGAGTTTGTACGAAAATACTATATTTGGTATTGACTGAAGAGATAGAGGCAAAATTCTAAAATTTGATCTTATGATTATTGATGACATCTGTATTCTGTATACGAAAAGTACTAAGTGGCACTAAATTTGGTGTTGGGTGAAGGAATAGGCCTGATATTGAGATCTCTGTTGGTATTTGGAATTGAAATATGTAGGAATTGCGTACTATAATTGTACGAAAAACACTAAATAGTGCTAAATTGGGTACGGGGTGAATATTTGGTACGGTATATATTTTGGTAATGGGGGTAAAAGAATAGTTAAAATCCTGAAATTTGATATTGAAGTTGCTGTTGTTTTCTTGGGTTTATATATGGAGACGTTGAAATAGTTTTGTAAAGAATAATTGGATATGGGTCCATTTTGCAATGGGTTAACTAATATCCTCGGTAAACTTCAAAATGAAAGATAGGTAAATATGAAAGGTAAATATTTTTCTATTAGAAAATGGAAAAACTTGAAAGACTGTCAAACTGAACCAATAGTGCATTTTGAATACTAAAAGTTGGAACGAATCTAAAATGTTAAGGTGGACTTTTCGCTGACGACGTTGCGGTCACTTGCTAATAAACGTTATTTCGTTCAAATGAAATTATTTGTTATACATTTTAAACTCTAAGAATGTGTTTTAGCAACAGAGGAGATCAGTTACCTCAATATTTCAATTAATGTAATCGAGTAGGGAAGGTGAGTTGGATAGCTCAGTACCTGGGATTTGCCATGGTACAATAAAAAGGTAAGGTAGAACTAACAGCTGATTACAATTTTTTTGTAAGTGTGCCCGACTTCTGCCAATTTTGTGTATGTATTTATTGTTGTGAAAAATGAAAAAAAAAAAAAAAACAACCAATAACCAATAATTGAAAGACACATGAATTGTTGCTCGCGCATTAAAGCTATTAACCAATATAGCCATGAAATTGAATGATTGAACAGAAAAATCCAGACATTTTATTCATTTTTCGCGCTTTTTAACTCATTTTAAAAATGAGGAAAAATATGAAAAAAATAAAAACAATAATTTTGAATGAGTCTGGCAGGAAGCGGGCATTGCCTCAGGGCTGTATTTTTGTTGTTGTTGTTGTAGCAGTTTTACACGTTCTGTTGTTTTTTTTTTTCGACTAATCCGGTTCTTCCTCAATGTCCAGGTTTAGGAATTCTGCTACCTTTATGGGCTGTAGCCATAGATCCTCTGGACGGAGTTGGGTAGGCTTGGCAGGCCAATTAAACAAATGCAGCGTGTTGTGCGGACCTGTATCGCACGCTGGGCAGGCGTTCCGCACATCCTCATCAATTCGTGCCCAATACGTCCTGAACGTAGTTGGGCCAAAACTACCCTGGTTTGCCTAGGCAGCCGACGTTCTTCAGCTGCAATGGATGGGGGTCATCAGTATGAATGCTACTCAGACCTGCTTGATAGGCTTCATGATCTAGAGGCTCTCTCTTATATCGCTGGACCTCTCTCTCTAGATCGTGCAGGTCCTTCCTGACACGCCTGGGTGGGGGAATTCTATCCACCATATGGTGGTTAGGGTGACTCCCGCGATAACACCTAAGCAGGTACTGCAACGAAAGCATATGATTATGCTGACGTAAGGGAAGAACCTTCGTCTCCTCATGTAAGTGGTCCACAGGCGTCATGAGGAGGCACCCTGTTGCAGTTCTCAGGGCGACATTCTGGCAGGTCTGAATAAATTTCCACTGCGTTGCACTTGTATTCGCCGACCACACTGGAGCCGCATAGCTAACCAGACCGACCTATCGCTTTATAAGAGGTCAACAAGGTTTCCTTATCCGCACCCCAAGTGCTGCCGGCTAGCGCCTTGAGGACCTTGTTCCTACTTTTCATTTTATCGCAAATAGCTGTGGCTTGCGCGGAAGACTTGAACATGCTATCGAATGTGACCCCAAGAATTTTGGGGTAGTTGGTGGTCGGAATTATATGCCCCTCGACCTGCACATTCAGCTGTGTTCTCATCTCCGCAGTCCATGTGGTAAATAGTGTGGCCGTCGATTTAGTGGCGGATATTTTCATATTCCTCGCGTGGAAGAAGGTGGCAAGCTCCGCGAGATAATTATTCACCCTGACACATATGTCATCAACTACAGGACCCGACGCCATGATCGTACAATCATCCGCATAAGTTACGTCCTCGAACAGCGTGGCATGGTTGACCGTATCAAAGGCCTTTGATAGGTCGAGAGCCACCACTACTGTTCTGTGGCACGGCCTGTTCTGGTTGAGTCCTCGACTGATATGTGTGGATATGGCGTGCAATGCTGTTGTAGTGCTATGTAGTGGACGGAAACCGTGTTGATGGTTAGCAACTGAATAGCTTCCTCTGATACTGGGGAGGTGTAAGGCCTCGAGAGTCTTTGCTACTGGCGACAAAAGCGAAATTGGCCTGTATGATTCGCCTTTGCTGGCATCCTTGCCAGGCTTCAGTAGCGGGACCACCCTGCCCATTTTCCAGGCTTGGGGAACTATGTGGGTGGCTAACGACAAGTTAAGGACTTTGGTTAAATACTCAACTCCCGGCGTATCCAGTTGCTTCAACATTACCATTGATATTCCGTCCGGGCCCAACGCTTTAGATGACTTAGCGTTTCGGATGACATTCGCAACATCACTTATCGTAAACTGTGGAGGTACATCCTCGGCGGGAAGAGCTCTTATACGACGTAGTACTCTTCGCCTCGCCCTATCACTCTCGGGGTGCTCGACAAATTGGCGGTTAAAACAGCCAGCGCACCTCTTCGGATCAGTCACCGTTACGTCGTTAAAAGTGACTGAGGTCCTATCATCCTTTTTTCCAGGGTTCGAGAGTGACTTTACCGTTACCCATAGTTTACTCAAATCGGTTCCGATGTTGCAACACTTCAGATGGTCTAGCCACTTTTTCCGCTTATGCTCCTGTACCAACCGGTTGACTTCCACTGTCAGTTCACTGACTCTGGGATCAGTAGGGTTGGTACGTCGGAGCTCATCACGCTCATTCGCTAATCCCGCTGCCTCTGCTGGGAAATTTGGTCTTACTTCGGGTATTCGGGCATTTTTTTTGTTTTTACAAGACAATGCGTCATCGTATACACCTGTTCTACCTCCTTATTGTACCATGGGATTTGCAAACAATAGGTGTATACGATGGCGCATTGTCTTGTAAAAATGTTAACACAATGTTATTGGTTAATCCAAAAGTCTAGTGAAGGAAAGCGATTGAAGAGAATAATTTTGACAGTTGCGTTACTGTGAGTTTGCAAATTGTTATGATAAAATGTGCTCAGTTAGAATTATCCGGCATCATCTAATTGAAAATCACCATTTTTGTAACCTATATAAAAATGTTTTGAAATTTCAAGCTAGAACTCAAATTATATTTCAGATAACAATTAGCTTATTGCCGTGCTAGCACCAGTAAAAGCTATGGATAATATTAGATTCGTAACCATATTTTACAATTTCCAGTAATATAATAAATTCTTTTCGTAGGACACGTTTAGAACATTGTACTATGGAATTAATAAATTATAATGGCTTGTATTACGTTTGTCTACCATTATATACATTTTACCACTGGGATAATGCTACTGATTGCGTAGAGTTCACTCAACTATAGAGCGAATAACTGTTTAAAGCTACCGAACAGTGAAATGTATTTAAATAAATTTAATTATTGATGCATGGGCCAATTTTTTTATTTTAGTACAATACTAAAACGTGCGATTATTAAACATTTGTGGATTGAGAAAACTGAATGACAACGACTTAGACCTGTAAAAAGTACCTCGACAAAGCTGTCATAAACAAACATTTTCTTTTTATGTTCTTTTTTTAATAAAAAGTGCAAGTATCGGTCATTTCCTGAAACACTCTTTTTCTAAGGTTTCAATCAATCTTGGACAAATAGATTGCAACTAGACTTATTGGCCTGATAGACAGTCAGTCCATTGGTCTTTGTACGACATATGAGTTCACGTGTTGTGCGACTCTAGGCAAGGTAACCCACCGCAACAAACACAAGAAGCATTGAACAATTTCCAGCAACGCAGCAATAGCAAAGCTCAAGCTCAAATGTTTAAATTGGAATAGATTAAAGTGAGCAGAGGTCACTCGAATAAGGTAAACTGGCAAAACAGATAAATGTGACCGGCATTTAATTCGAGTAGTAGTAGTAGGTTTTCATGTTTTTCAGCTATTCTTCTTTTTCACGTTGTCGTTAGTCTTTTGCAATATTTTCTTCAACACTTCCAATGACCGATTTCACAGCTAATGCTAATGTAATTAATGGCATATACCAAGGCGTTATGGCAAATTTCGAATAGTTCTTCGCGAACTCTTAAAGAGTAACCATCGGTTGTTGGGAAATACAATTCCAAAATTAAGGAATTAGAAAAAAATTGAAGAAAAAAAAAACAGAAAAAAGGATTTTTTGTCAAAATGGAATTTCAAACTAAACGTGATTTAATGACTTCATAAGGATATAAATATTCAAGGATATCACCTCCATAAGGTGTCTAACGGAGATTACAACATAGCTTTAGTTAAATAAAAACAACAAGAAAAAAGTAACAAACATAAAATGATTACACAATAGAAATTTTTTGATGAAACCATAAAAGTGCTGCGAAGGATGATGCAAATTTTATTCGTAAAACATTGAAAAAAAAGAAAAACATCTCGAAATGAAGTTAGTGAACAGTGAAAAAATTGTGTGCAGTGAAAATTAAAAAAATTTTTTTTGCATTTCTTAATAATATGAAAGACTTCCTTAGGTTTTTTCAAATCAAATATAGATATACAATATTAGCTACATTCTAAAAACATTTTTCGTATGGTCCTTCGTGAAATATTTAATGCAATTAAATTATCTTTTTATGTCCTGGATTATAAAACACAAATTGCCACTTCACATAACTACATAGTATTAAAGAAAGAAAAAATTGCTAGACGAGGCTCAATGTAAACCATGACAGAATCAAAGAAATATTGTGATTTGCCAAATTGATAATGACAACCTTTTTTTATTGAAGCTAATCTATAATTTTGTTATTTTGTTAATATTAATTCCATAAAACGAGTGGCATATTTGTTTTCTAAAAATAAAATATAACAAGTAAGCAAAAGCTACAGTCGAGCGGGGCCGACCGTTGAATACCCTACAACACTATAATAAACGATACAGTTTATATAGGCGAAATACTCGAAACAATTCCACAAGATATTGTGACAAATAATAAAAGAAATCCATCAGGTTTTATTCTCTAATTTTCGAATAATAGCAACTTAAACTTATTTGCTCATTTCCAATTTATTGGAAGATGTTGCACGTAAATGGTCTTCGTAGATCTGGAACCAATATTTCCAAAGACCTATAATCTCTCAGAAGTGGCAAAAGATTAACATTTATTATTGGTTTTTGACTGAAACGCATCTATATGAGATACAGACATTTGACTATATTCTTCAACGAAATTAGCGTTAACGAAATAGTCAGAAGTGCGTCTTTCCTGTATTTGTGAATTCTCCATAAAGTCACTGGAATGGACATTTTCGTATTTTGTCTACAAAAGTTGGCAAACTATTTAACACATTCAATATTTTTGGATGCCCATCAAAACTGCTTGGCTTTTGTAATGTCCGGTAACCCCCATTCAAATATGCCTGAGGATCGGGCGATAATTACGACCTGTAGACAATTTTGCATTTTTTTGGTCCATTTCAACTCCCAAAATTTATGGCGATCATCTCCAAAAAGAGTAGGCTTTTATTCTGACCCTCATATTATCTCCATGCAAAATTTCGTAAGGATCGGGTCATAAATGCGATCTGTATATGATATTCTGATATCCTAACAACTCAGTTTTGTTAGCTGTAGAAATATTACCAAATGTTTAATTCAAAATGAAAATATGCCAAAAATATGACAAAATTGAAAAAATATAATGTTAGAAAATCAATATTTTCATCTTTAGAGAGATATTTGTATTCGTTTTTAGACGTTTTTTCTTTCCTGTCAAGAGGCCATTCTGAATTAATGAGAACTGTCGAAATCAGTTCAGCCGTTCTCGACATATAAGAGATTTTTCAAGCATATCTTCGTTGATAAACATATATATCGCACAATTTTTGCTATATATCCGATTTTTTGGATGTTAACATCAATGTAAAGATCAGAAGTAACCTTGTCATGGCTTTGTGATTTCGCCGGGATTTAAAATATTCGCGGTTAAATGAAAAATTTTGAATTTTTTCAACACAAAAGATATAGTCTATTTTACCCGCTAAATATTATCCGATGACCACCCAAATTGGTAGGCTTCTTCCCCGCCCTAAACTCTAGCTACATGCCGCGTCGATTGGTCTATAATTGCGACCTGTATAGCTACTGCAAAATCCGACATTTTTCAGTATTTGGTCCATTTCAACCCCTAAACATTTGGCGATCATCTCCAAAAGAAATAGGGTTCTATTCTGACCCTAGCCCCACCTCCATTCTAAATTTCGTGAAGATTGGGCCACAATTGCGACCTGTAGAGTGATTACAAATTAACATGGACAGACGGACAGACGGACAGACGGACGGACGGACATACTTAGCTAGATCGACTCAGCTTGGCGAGATAGGAATATCCATATATACTTTCCTATGTGGGAAATCAATATTTCGTGGTGTTACATAATTTTTGGCCCAATCAAACTTATAATACCCCCAACACATAGTGTTGTAGGGTATAAAAACCCATTTCCGTTCTTAGTGCTAAAGCACGTCTCTATTTTTACACCCTCAGCCATATGGCTAGATAGGGTATATATCATTTGATAGGACAAAACGTGCCTAGTCGAAATAACTGTTTTAGACCCTAGGTCTCTCTGGACCAAATCCACTTCAGAACATTTGGAGTCGATCTAGCTATGTTCGTCCGTCCGTCTGCCTGTCTGTCTGTCTGGCTGGTGCGCACCAAAACTCTCGAAGGGAGTATCCGATTTGGTCCAAACTTGGTATTTTGCAATATTTTGGTCAAACCTAGATCGTGTTCGGAGATGGGCAATTTCGGTCTACTCCTTCTGGTACCTCCCCCCCAAAAGATTGACATTTTCTCCACAAAAAGAGAAAGGATAATCCGATTTTGCTCCAACTTTGCAAATCCTAATATTTGCGTCAGTGTTATGTCAGGTCCGAAAATGGATAATATCGGTCCACTCCATCAAGTACCTCCCCCCAAAGAGTCAAAATGTTGAATAATTACAACTCTCATAAAATGTAATGTAAATGTCGAATTGTTTTCAAATTTAACACATCCTAATATTTATATTAATCCAAGGTCTGGTGTTAAGATGGAATATATCGGTTCACTCCTTCTGGTACCTCCCCCACAAAGGGTCAAAATACACATGAAGCTCATACAGCGCGAAATCAATATCCGATTCCATTCAGACTTGGTACATCTCAATATTTCCATCAACGCAAGCTCTGTTATAAAGATGGTAGAAATCGGACCATTTCTTCTGGTACCTCCCCGCTAAAGGTTTCAAGATTTTAAAAAACAAAACGCTCAAAGAAAGCGAAATAAGCATCCAATTCTCTTCAATTTTGACATATACAAATCTTTTTGCTAAAACAAGATCTGTTGTGATATATGATATAAATATATATATATATATATATATATATATATATATATATATATATATATATATATATATATATATATATCATATATTTTTTGACATATACAAATCTTTTTGCTAAAACAAGATCTGTTGTGATATATGATATAAATATATATATATATATATATATATATATATATATATATATATATATATCTGGGAACCCCTTCTGGTATCTCACCCACAAAGGGTCACAATAAATCATTACTTTTATCTATCATAACTTGTGAAACAAGTCAGCGATTCTTTACAACTAAATATTTCCCTCAACCAGAAACATGGGATGAATATGAAATTTATGATTTCACAATAAATTGGATATAAATGTTCAATTTTCTTGTAATTTTGCACATACCAACATTTTTATCTGTATTAGATGGAGTGTGTAAATGGAATACTTTGTCGACTATATCTGGTACCTTACGCACATATTAACATATTCTACAAGTTATCATATATCTCATATTTATTTAGGTCCGATACGAAATAGACAATAATGGCCCATTTCTTCGAAATCTACTCCATAGAGTGTCAACAATTTGAATAATTATAACACAAGTAAAAAAATATATTTAAGGAATCGAACAAAACAGTTGTCCAATATTGCCCAATTCGTATCTGACATAAGGCTGATATAAATGTTACAACGTGCCTTATTTGACTATATCGTCTACTTCCTACTTTGTTTGAGATACGGTTGAGATAAAAAACTGCGACAAAGTCAAACGCCATAATTTTTACATTTTTTCTTAAATGTTTTTAAACGAAATATTCAATATGAAATTTTAGAATAAGTTTAGATTTTTTCGAATTGGGCAACTTTGGCACGAATTATGACCTTCAAAAGGCCAATGAAACATTCACACGCTGACCGAATATTGCTCTGCGGTATTTTTGCCCATTCCCGCCGAAGCGCTTGCTTGATAGCGATCGACACTTTGTTATTTTTTGGTGCCAACCTTGCTTTCCAAATTACTCCAGACAGAATAGTCCAACGGATTGGTATCCGGAGATTTTGGTGGACATTGTGCGCTGGAAATGAAGCGAGGAGCCTCATTTCGTAACCATTCTTTGATGGTGCGTGCTGAGTGCGATGGTGCTACATCCTGTTGGAATGTCCAAGCTCTGCAGCCAAAATGTTTGCGGGCCCAAGGCTTTAATACACCCTACAGAATATTTTCGCTATAATATTCGGAATTAATCTGAAGCCACGGTCGATTAATACGAGCGGAGAGCGACCATCGGCTGTTATGGCGGCCCACACCATCACCATGGTCGGCGCTTGAGTTCTGGTGGGCAACCGAAGGTGCACATTTTCATCTGACCTCTTTGACAATTAAACACGATCAATTAGTTTGTTTACAAACTGCTGGACAACGAATGTTTTCTCATCGGAGAAAACCAAATTCGGCAGTTCAACACTTTCGGCCAAGCGAAGCAACTCTTTAGCTCTTTTGAGTCCATTTTCTTTCTGTTGCGGTGTAAGATCTTCCACTTTTTGGAATTCCAATGGCTTTACCCCGAGCTCATTTTTCAATATTTGCCGAATGGAATATTAGCGATATGTTCAGCTCACGAGCCATTTTTCGGCCAATGCGACGAGGGTTTCGATCAAGTCGCTTCTTTATTTTCGAACCATTGCTGTTGATGTTGCTGTTTTCTTCCGTCCACTACCTTGCCGTCGGGCTTCACTACCAGTATCACGGTAACGAGCGATGGTACGAGACACAAAAGATAGCCACTTATGGTTTTCCAGCCAAATATAAAGCAATCGCTTCATTGCCATCCCAAAATTTTTTTTTTTCTGGAAAATTCTCACCAAAATGCTATTGTACGCTTGTAAACAATATAATGAGCTGTCAGTGGAATAATTTTAACACCTGTAGGACAAGTGGATTTGAAATGACAGCAGTTTGAAGTTGGTTGCAGTTTTTTCATCTTACCCTGTACATTATGGACCGAAATTGAACTAAATCAACCGAAACTCCTCTATTCTTTTACGAAGAAGCCAAGTGGTGACTTAAGGTGAGATTACATAAAAACCCCGTTTGATGACTGGCTGTTAATCATCGGTTGACTTCTTCATAAATGATGACATTGATAATACCAGCCAAAAATGGCTTCTATATATTCTTCCTTTAAGCCAGTATTTTTATGGATGACACACTGCGTACACAGTTCAGAGTTCAATATTGCTTCCGTATATAAGTTTCATGTGCAATCTAATTATTTGTTTTACTAGAAAATTAGAAAAAAAAAACAATAAAAAAACTCCAAGAAAATTAACATAAAGATAGAGAGGTGATAAGCCTAGTCTTTCGAAATAAAAATAAAATAAAAAATATAAATTAAGTGGAAAGAGAAAAAAAACCAAATAACTTCAACAATAAACATGGCAACCGATGCTGAAAAAGGTGAAAAAGAGGAGCAGTACGATATCCAATATTCGGAGGAGTATATTTTAACCGATGTGGAAAAATCATTCATATTGGCTGCGGAGCGTGGTGATCTTGCTGGTGTTAGAACGTAAGTTGCAAAGTAATTCAAATAATCTTAATAAAATTAATTTTGTATTTTTTTTATATTAGAGTGTATATGTCAATTTGTCAATTTGTCAATTTTACCTCATTTCTGTTTTTACTATGGTAGATACGAAAGAAATTTTGATCAAACAAACTTGATAGGCATAGGATAATACAATCAACTTTACATACATTATTTCTTTCGTTATGCCATGTTTACGTTAGAAGTTTTTGTACGGTTAACCTATTTTGAGGGGATTTATTTGAAGTAAAAGTAATGGGTATGACAATTTAAATCCAAATCCAGTGGGTTAACCCTCATATATATAAATGTACTATTAGTCTTGTAATGTCAACACCCATATACAGTTTTGAATAATAAGCATAATTATTTTGAATATTTTCAAATTCTGTTGAAATTTTAATTCATATTTCCGGGTTTTGGGGAGAAAATTATTTTTTGCGTTTTAGGATAAAAAATGAATTTAATCGTATTAGGAACTCGATATTGGGAAAAATACGCGGCGTACCATTGTTTTTAGCGTTTATCTTCGAAAAAATCGAATCTGCAGATGTCGTCTATATCGTTTCAGGGGTTTGAGTGGGAATATTGAAGTCACTCAATTCTAAAACGTTAAAAATAACAAAAACTGTATGATATTTGTCAGTTGAAAATTGTTCTACAATAAAAGATAGATAAGTGAAAACTATGTAGTGACATCGAAAAATATGGGAATATTCCAGTAAAATTCTTGAAAAACGATAAAATGTGTGTTTCGAAGTCAAGTGGGTTGAACGCGGAAATAAGCATATTGACTATGCAAAATATGATGAGAGCCACCTGGATAAAAAGACAAAACTAACTTTTCATTGTCCATATCTTCAGTCTATGACGGTACCTTCCATTGATTTCATTTCCTTTTAAAATGTTTTTGTTTGAACTTCAAACATTGCAGAGCTAAGCAAATATGAAGAAGAGAATACTTAAGAGAAAAATACAGCTTTATTTTTAGTTTGTTTACGGTTTATTTTAGCCTTTTTTAAACGAATATAGTCTGAAAAGAAAGTTGTGTTAGTTACTACGCGTATAACTCAAGATTTTAACGATTCAGACAAATTCGAAATTGTCTCTTGGCAGAAAAGAAAAAAATCCGCGTAAAAATGTTAAATTCCCTTTTCTTTTTTGTTTTGATTTTTGGAATGAATGTTGAAATGGGCCAAAAAACTGAACAATTTCCTGATTTTGCAATATAGGTCGCAATTATAGACCAATCAAAGCGAAAGTTAGCATGGGCCTAGAGCTTAGGGCTGGGCAGAAGCCTTCCAATTTTGGTGGTCATCGGGTAATCAGACGATATAAATGAATAGACCATAACATTTGTGTTAAATAAAAGTCATATTTTCCATTAAACCGCGAATATTTTTAATCCCGCCGAAATCACAAATAAACAAAAAAGGTAATTTCTGACCGTTACGTAGATGCCGATAGTAAATATATGGGATATATAAAGCGACATATATACAATGTATATATATACAGGAAGGGGATGTTAGCTAGAATGTTTATATCTCAAGAATGGCTGGCCCGATTTTGACAAATTTTGTCAATTCAGAATGCCCTTTTGACATAAAGGTATAAAATTATATTTTAAGGACAGGAAAGAATTCTAGCAATTTTGATGACCATTGGATTACGTTTAACTGTAAAATAGACCACAAACAACTAACAGCACGACGGATTGCGTAAATATTGGGCAAATTTCCTTAGTCAAAATGCTAAGGGTAATACCTGGGCAATGCTCTAGGACATAATTTCAAAAGCGAAATCTTCCAAAATGGATCTGGACATAAGGGGGCTTCTAACGTATTGTAGTGTTGTAGGGTATCAAATGGTCGGCCCCGCACGACTATTGCCTCTGCTTAGTTGTTTTTTAATTTTTTTTGTAAAGAAGAAAATATCCTTTCAAACAATTATAAGTGACACACTTTTGGTATAGCCCGCATGTGAAGGAATTCCACTGATACATATTTTGGTAGAGTTCCCATATATCAGTACCTCCCAGGTCCATAGTGATTTTAACCGATAGGCGGATGAACAGAAGGATGTTGTTTAATCAATACTGAAGTTTACTAAGACGAAAAACATAGACTTTATGGGGACCTTGACGCACAATTACAGGTGTTATGATAATGGGTGTACAAGAATAATTAACTTTACTTCTATTCTGAGATCATTCCGCCCTCAATTATTTGGTGAACAAAACTAAATACCACGTTGCACGATCTTCTTAACGTAGCAAATTGTAAGTTACAGCTCATTTGAATGAGAAAGTAAACTTAAGCTGAGTAAGTAAAGTAAAATTAAGCTGAGCTCTTATATATAGCTACTATAAACAGTTGATAAATTTTTTCATAGATTTGATATATCATTCAGCTCTCAACCTAAAGTCAGTATTTTTAAAATCAAGCTTTGGGTTAGCGTCACTCTTGGACCGAGGGTTTCAGATAGGGCTGAATTTCTGGAAATTCGTACTAGAACGGTATGAAAACTGCTAAAAGGTACTAAATGTGGTACCCTTTGTATTTGATTGGAATTGGAACTGATGGATGATGTACAAGAAGGTTTTTGGAAATTCGCACTATAAATGTATGAAAAGTTCGAAAATGTACTACTGAGGTTAAAACTTGAAATTTGGAATGAGAATCAAGGGCCGACGTAAGGAGGAGGATTTATATGTACTAAATTTGGTGGAATTTGAATTTGGGTGAACCGATAGTAAACGGTACTAAGTTTGGTCCATATTGGATTTGGGTGAACTTGTAGAGGTAGAGTCCTGAAATTAGGAATTATTCTTGGAAACAATTACTTAAAATAATAAAAGTACAAAAAATAATAATTGGTACAAAATTTAGTATTGAGTGTACGGATAGAGTTAGATTCCTGAATGGTGGTGTTGGTGTCAGAAGTGGTGTATAGTGTTGAGTTATGGAAGTTGTTTTGAAAAGGCGTGCCACAGATATACGAAAAGTACTTAACGGTGTGGGATTGATATATGATGTGGTTTTGGAAATGGTATATAGTACATTGTGTACTCTTCTTCTTATTTATTCTTATTTTAACTCTCCATACATACACCTAAGTTTGTTTTTACACGGTCTTTTTGTACACGGTTTTGATATAACACGGTTTGAAAATTGAATATTTTTAATTTTTTTACACGATTTTATTCCATTTAGCACGATTTGAAATGTTATGTACTTCAATTTTTAAATTTAAATTTAATTTTAACACATTAACATAGACAAATGAAAATATAGACAACGAAATGCTCTCACCGTTCATCTTCGAAAAAAATCGGATCAGCAGATGTCGTCTATATCGTTTCAGGGGTTTGAGTGGGAATTTTGAAGTCACTCAATTCTAAAACGTTAAAAATAACAAAAACTGTAGGATATTTGTCAGTTGAAAATTGTTCCATAATAAAAGACAAGTGAAAACTATGTAGTGACATCGAAAAATATGAGAATATTCCAGTGAAATTCTTGAAAAACTATAAAATGTGTTTTCGAAGTCGAGTGACTTGAACGCGTAAATCAGCATGTTGACTATGCAAAACATGATGAGAGCCACCTGGATAAAAAGACAAAACTAACTTTTCGTTGTCTATATCTTCATTTGTCTATGGCATTAATGTGGCGTTTCCACTGCACTTGATTCGCTCTCTATTCGTTGTTTGACCCTTAACTATGAAAAAACTACATAATTCTTCACACAAAATTTCCTGAGCGAACACTCATATTTGTACATTGTTCAAACATAGACAAATGAAAATATAGACAACGAAATGTTCTCACCGTTCATCTTCGAAAAAAATCGGGTCAGCAGATGTCGTCCATATCGTTTCAGGGGTTTGAGTGGGAATTTTGAAGTCACTCAATTGTAAAATGTTAAAAATAACAAAAACTGTATGATATTTGTCAGTTGATAATTGTCTCATAATAAAAGAAATGTGAAAAGTACGTGATAACATCGAAAAATTCAGGAATAATCAAGTAAAATTCTTGAAAACCCATAAAATGTGTTTTCGAAGTCGAGTGGCTTGAACGCGTAAATAAGCATGTTGACTATGCAAAACATGATGAGCGCCATCTGGATAAAAAGACAAAACTAACTTTTCGTTGTCTATATCTTCATTTGTCTATGGTCTATATTTTCATTTGTCTATGCTGAGAGCATTTATCGAAAAAATAAATTATGACATTTAAAAATTAAAAATAGAAAAATTTAATGAAATTTAAAAATTTTTGGGAAGATTAAAAATTATGAATGAAAACTACAATGTTGAATGGCGTATGTACATTCAAACGAAAGTAAATTTTGTTTTCTCTCTCTTTCGGGGTACGCATTTGGTCCACGAGTTGAAATTTCCACAGAAAACTGCAAACAAAAGAGGCAAAATGTTTCTATCGGCAGAAAAAATGTTTGACAAGTGTCTCTCCAGCAGAATTTAAAAATGGAAAAACAGAAAAATATGTTCAAAATGTCAACATTTACACAAAAGTTGAAAACATGAATGAAAATTATAAAATTAATGATATAATAAATCTTTGGGAGAAAAACAATCATTTCTTCTATTCATATTAGTGAGAATTTCATGTATTTTCGTATACATTCCCTTTAAAATCAACAAGCAATTTTTTTGAAAAAAGAATTATTTTACTATGAATTACGAATCGTGCCGTATGAACGGGTTAATTCGTGTACCTAATTCTGAGAGCGAACAACGTTGTTCGGTTTCCAATGGAAACATGCTATAAGATAAAAGGTAAGCCAAAAAATATTTTGTATTTATTCAGTTATTTATGTTTTTTAATTTTGTTAAATATTTTATGTATCCCTAAAAGGAAATGTCAGATAAAAAACTAAAAGAGAAGGCAATTTCTTTGGAAACCAAGATTAAAATTTTAGATCGCCTTCGAAATGGAGAAGGCTTAACTGCTCTT